CTAATGGTGTAGATTTGCTCGACTATTGCGGGCTCGTGGCTTGCACTTCGAGGCGAAAGCGCCGCTGGGCCTCGTCTTCGACGCGCTTGGCCACGCGGCGCTCTTCAAGGAACCGCTCTTGCAGGAGGAAGCCCGTGTACGCGCCGCCGAGGCCAAAGATCACGGCCATCGCGGCCTTCCCAACGTTGTTGTTGCCGCGCATGCTGGTCGACGTCGGCCACGAACGTGTATCCGGAGTGTGAAACACGTTTTTCACACAAATCACACTGCACTCCGTCCATTTGCCACAACGCATCCGGTCTAAACACACGCATTCTTTCCGCGAAACCGGTGGCAAATACGGTGATACGTCGTCCTACAATGCATCCCAAAGGACCTACGTACCGTACCGTGGCATTCAAGATAGCACGTACCCATCATTGATATGTCCTATTTGATGCATCACGCGCACCCCATGGGCGAGGCGGGCTCGCACCGCCATAGTTGCGTGCTGACAGACTATCAAAACATTGGGCAACCGTTATGTTCTCCGCCTCCGCATACTGTCCGGATAGCGACGTTTTCAAGCGGAATTACATTGAAATATTTAAAGATATCTTGATCTTTGTATAAAATGGTTTTAAATCCATTAAATTCGATGCAAATTAGTAAAGATCGTGGCAGTTGCACGTCGGGTTCGATCTTGGCTCCAACGGACGCCATAAACGAAATTCCATCGCGCTAGCACCATGGGCCTCCTCACGCTCCTCCGCAAGCTGAAGAAGGACGACAGCGAAGCGCGCATTCTCGTGCTCGGCCTCGACAACGGCGGGAAGACGACGATCCTCAAGAAGCTCTCGGAAGAGGACATTAGCCACATCATGCCGACGCAGGGCTTCAACGTCAAGAGTCTGCAGGTCGACGGCTTCAAGCTCAACATGTGGGACATTGGCGGTATGGCGCTGCACATAGCCAGACGCAAGGCTCATGGTTCGCACTGTAGGCCAAAAGACCATTCGGCCCTACTGGCGAAACTACTACGAGCAGACGGATGCGCTGGTATGTAAAGACACGGAGTGGTCGACGAGGCTTACGAAAGATATAGATCTATGTCATTGACAGCGCGGACCGTCGCCGCTTGGAAGAGACGGGCGTCGAGCTCAACAACTTGCTCGAGGAAGAGCGTCTCGCGAGCTCGCCGTTGCTTGTGTTTGCCAACAAGCAGGACTTGCTGAACGCGCTGCCAGCGTCCGAGATCTCGACCGCGCTCAACCTGCACACGTTGCGCGACCGCAACTGGCACATCCAAGCGTGCTCGGCCAAGTCGGGGGAAGGCCTCCAGGAAGGCATGGAGTGGATAGTCAACACGATGAGCGAGTCGCGGGGCCGCGAAGCCAAGTAGCCTTGCCGCACCCTCGGGCCAAAGAGGACTGCCATGACCACCTGAATACATAAATGCCCCATGTATCTTCTCTGCGTGTCGGCAGTCGTCGTGGGACATACGTATGCCAGTTCAGGAGACTAAGGTCACATCGAGCTGCCAAACGGTGCCTGTCCCGCTGCGTCGTCGCCCGGAAGCACGAGAATACTGCCGGCACTGGCTGCTTCTCGCGCTCCATGCCGATGGAAGCTCAAGTGGAGGGAACCCGCTGGATGACTTTGGCCCTTGGACCACACGTCGCCATCGACCACACGTCGTCCGTTGCCTCAAAGGGCTTTAGCACAGACGGTTCAGGGTATCAACTTGATACATTTCGCTGTCTCCTCTCGGCGTGTGCTTTGCTCTTGGTCGTCGGCGTGTCGAGACCGAGTGCGTAATCAAATCTGCATTACTACATTTACAACGGCAGCTCAAAGCTGACGTTGACGTGGACCTCCTCGGCTTGCGCGACAATGTCGGCGATCTTGACGGCCTTCTGGGCGGCGTCGTCCAAGTCGTTGGCGACGATCATGCGGAAGCCGCTGTTTTCGATCAACTGACGGGCCTTCTCGACGTTGGTGCCCTGGAGGCGGATGACGATCGGCTTCTTCATGCCGAGGTCCTTGGCCGCGGCGATGACACCGGCGGCGATGACGTCGCAGCGCATGATACCACCGAAAATGTTGACCAAGATCGACTTGACCTGCGGGTCGGCGTTCAAGATCTCAAACGCCTTCTTGACCTGCGACTCGGTCGCGCCACCACCGACGTCCAAAAAGTTGGCCGGCGAGCCGCCGAAGAGCGAGATGATGTCCATCGTGGCCATGGCCAAGCCGGCGCCGTTGACGAGGCAGCCAATGTTACCGTCAAGACCAATGTAGTTGAGGTCGTAGGCGGACGCCTCGACTTCACGCGGGTCCTCCTGCGTCTTGTCGCGCTTGGCAAAGATGTCCTTGTGGCGGAACGACGCGTTGTCGTCAAAGTTGATCTTGGCGTCGCACGCGTACACGTGGCCTTCCGGCGTCTCGGCGAGCGGGTTGATTTCGACAAGCGTCGCGTCCGTGCCGATAAACATGTTGTACAAGTTGTTCATGAGCTCGACACCGCGCTTCTGCGACTCGCCCGAGAGGCCCATGTTGGCCGCGAGGCGGTTGAGCTGCTCCGAGGTCGGGCCCGTCGTGATGTTGACGGCTTCCTTGAAGATCAATTCCGGCGTCGCGTGCGCGACGTCCTCAATCGAGGTACCGCCGGCGGGCGACGCGACAAGCACGGGGCCGTTAGAGGCGCGGTCCATAAGGATCGAAAAGTACATCTCGCGGCGCATGTAGACGCGTTCCATCAAGAACACCTTGGCGACTTCAATACCCTTCTCGCCCGTCTGCTTGGTGACAAGCGTCTCGCCAAGCATCTTTTCGGCAAAGTTCTTGGCATCCTCCGGCTTGGTGCACATGTGCACGCCGCCCTTGAAGCCGTTCTTGAAGTGGCCGAGACCACGGCCGCCCGTCAAGGCCTGCGCCTTGATGACAACGTCCTTGGCCGCGTCGCCGCCCTTGAGCGTGTTGTACGCGGCCTCGGCCTCGGCCGGCGTGGTCGCATGGAGCGAGGCCGGGATCGCGACGCCGAACGACTTCATGATCTCCATCGACTGGTATTCATGGAGGTTGAGGCGGCGGACTTGCTGGCCCGGCGCGCGGAGGAGCGGCGCGGCCTTGGCGACGGTGCGGAAGAGGCTCATCTTACTTTGGCACGGCAAATTGTGAGGTGAAGACAAGACCACCAATATTCGGTCAAGTCCTAATTAGGACAGGACCGCACCTACCCCTACTTCAACCGCTCAACGGACGACGCACTTGCCCTTTGTATGATGCCCCAATTCGGAGATTGAAATTCGGCTTTTGAGATTCGACCATAGATTTCGTAACCCGATCCCTGGATGAAGCGGGCCGTCGAATGGCCGCGGGCCCGATGACGTCGACGCCGCCAGTCGCCGCGGCCGCAGGACGTGGCCTGTTCGCGTAGCGTGTGTGTAGCGACGCCCGACCCAAGGACCTCGGTTGCAGGCAACGGCGCCGCTTGTAGCTGCCCACGGAGCGGGATGCAGTCGCTGAGCGTGAGATTGCGCAATGCAGCGCGCTGTGGCCGCGCTTGCCATGCTACCACGACGCGTGAGCTCGGCGCGTGGATACGACGCAATACAGTGGTACAGCTAAGACGTTTGTCCGAGTCGGAGCGCGGATGCCAAGCTAACAAAGTCGTTGGACGCGTGTGCATGGCTGACGACACGCGTGGATCTTGGTGTTGATCGCCGCCTAGATCTGCTCCAAGGGACAGCGTCGAGCGAGAGTATGCTAATAGCATAGGAATCAATGGGATGGTTCATTCGCTACGTGCAAGCATCATCGTCCACAGAGCGGGCGACTTGAGTGGCGCACTCATTTCTTATCGCTTTCTGAATGTGCTGGATAATGGACGCAGGAGCGTAGCCGTGGGCACCTACGGCCACGTAGGGACGCAGCGACATACACCTGCGATGGACGCCATCCACCGTCGCAGAGGCCAGTTGGGTGCTACTGTTCGCCGCGGGGATCGGCTGCGTATGCGGTCGCCACCTCATTTCGACGCCTATTTATAACCGCGATGGTCGCGGTCTTCCCGTTTGTCGGTACGTCGTCCTGCCACGTCAGCGCGGTCGGTATCGACGCTCTGTAGATGGCATTCGGCGCGCCACGTACCTCTCGTCACGGCTGCCCTCGCTCTGCCGCGCCGGCAACGCCACGGTCGGTTGCCTCGACATGCACGAGCATCACAAGTCAATAGGGCGCCGTCGTCGCCTTGCAAGAGCTCTCGGATACATGGCGTGCACGGGCCGACGACGTCGTCTGGCTGCCGCGCCGCCTCAAGAAGAGTCTTGCGCTGGCCATCAGCCTCGCCCTTCGGTCGTTCTCGATTGCTGGCCACGCCACGCTCCACGTACGCGGTTGCTACGACCGTTCATATGAGTCTCTGTTGTCACTAGTACCTCTCGGTCGCTCTTCTGCATGAGCTCATCTGCACGCACAATGACATTCGCGTATTTGCCTTGGCGGTGCGTCACACGACAAGGATGATGGCGGCGCGTCATGCGGGCTGTTAGATGGGCGTCCAGCCTCGCGTCGCGGCGCTCCTGGCGGCGACATCGGATCTCACGTCCTTCTACGCGCAGCTGCACGCTGTCGACAAGCTCTTGCGGTTTGTCGCTATCATAGAAGACAAGTTGTCTGATGGTTTGATTAGGCTCGAGCTCGAGGTCGCCCGCAGTGCGCTCACGGGCAGTGCCGTCGCCGCGCCTGTGGACCTCACCTTCCTCGTCACGAGCATATCCGCCCCGGGAGTTGAGCACCTGATACCGACAGCGGACGCCTTGACGCAGACGAGCCACTTGATCCCACTACCTGCGAATGCACGCGGCGTGACGCACGCCAACTGGAAGCCCAAGCTGCGCTTTGCGTACCGCTGCCTCCAGTGCGACTCGCGGCTGCACGTCCACGAGGCCATCAAGATTCTCCGCGCGATCGCGCACCTCAAGCCGCTCGGCTGCGACGTCGCCACCGTGCAGCTCAACCTCGGCGCCGTCTACCTGCACATTGAGCACCATGTCGACGAAGCCATCGCGTGCTTTGAAGCGGCCATCACACACGACCCGACGCTATGGAAGGCGTACTACAACTTGGCGATCGCACTGTTGCAGCGCGGCCGGCTCCTCGAAGGCAAGGACGCGCTCGTCGCTGCCCTTAGCCGGCACCCCTCCGACGGGCGAACCATCGCAATGCTCGCCGAAGTCAACGCCGCGCTCTCGATGGCCGCCATGCAAGTCGTGGCCTCCGAGCGCGACCGGCAGGCGTTTGCCAACGACGTCTCGGTCGTCGTGTCGTTTCTGCAGGCGCCGCACGCACCGCTCGCCCCAATTCGATTTGACGCGGCGGCGACCTACGTTGATGACGCGAGTGCGCTGGCGGTGCCCGTGACGCAGCCGCTGGCGCCGGGCTGGGACGGTGCAATCGCCAACCTGCTGCACCGCCTGTATGTCTTTGCAGCGCTCCGGCGGCAGCACGCGCACGAGGTTGCTTTTTGTATCAACTTATCAACAGATCTGAGAGATGACGTAGCTCTTTCAAAGCGTATGCGAACCAAACCAGCCCCAATGGATCTCGATCGCGGCTTTGGACTCTCTCTTGGCGACGACGACCGGGAACGGCTTGACAAGCGACGAACGCGCCGAGCTGCTTGTGCTGTTTCCCCACCAGTAGTGCTGGCGAGTTGAGTCGATAGATTGATACATGGCTAGGACGATGATTCATGCGCTCTTGCAGCCCAACCGCGCAACCTCCGCGATCATCAGCGACGTGCGACGCCTCGGTGCTGCCTACTCGCACCTCTCGTACCCTCGACCTCGCGCCCGATCGGCGCCCTCCCCCTTTACGCGCTGGCTGGACCTGCCGCTCCTCAAGTGGCTCCAGTCGGTGCCGAGCCTGAAGGCCAAAGCATCTAGCATCTACGATGTGCTCATCGACCTCGGCCTTTTCAGTGTACTGCATTTGGCCAAGCGCCAGCCGACGCTCAAGCCGCAGCACCTCAAGCCGATGGACTTGGCCGACCGCGGGACGCTCATTTACGAGCTCTTTGGCCTTCGCCGAAGCGTCGAGGTGGCGGCCGGCAGTGTCATCCAAGGTCCGATTTGCATTCTGCTGCTTCTTGCGCCAATAAGTACGTAGGCGCGATTCGCATCTTGACGGCCAAGATCCATTGCAAGCAACAGAGACAGCTCCAGTGGATGGCCCGCGAAGACATCAACGCGCACGACCGGACGCACTCGGTGGCACTCCGCGACCACTTGCGCCACCAAGAGGCCATGCGCACCGTGTCTGATGCGCTGCATAGCGTCCTCGAGGCCATTTTCACCGACATTTTTGCCTTGCCGCCGCTGCCCGGAACGCTTCCGTGCATTCCGCTGCGCACCGAACTCCGTATGCGCACCAACCTCGCGGCCACGTCCGTCCAGCGCGCGCACCGCGACAGCGCCAAAGACTCGTACCGCCTGACACGATAGCAAGCGATTACTTGACTTCGATAATGTCGGCCTGCTGCTCGAGCGCGAGGTTGCGGAGGTAGAGGGACTCGGCGAAGAAGGCCATGACCGGGTGCATCTCCTCCTAATACCAAATGTAGAAATCTTGTATGCGGTAGCGTGACGTACGCGTGTCGCCAGCGAGAGCGGACCGGGTACATCAAACACGTGCGTTTCGACCCGACCGAGCGCCGATTGGCAGCCGGCGTGGCACGCTGCCCACGCCGACGCCGAGACCAACGGGTCGTTCTTGCTGTGGAGCAATACCACAGGCGTGTGCTGCTTGAACGCGGGAAGCGGCGGCGAGAGGAGGCCGCCAGAGAGGCTCACGACGCCACCAAGGCGCTCCGGGAACGTCGTTGCGACGGAAAGCGCCGCGTGGGCCCCCTATGGATGCGCAACGATGTGGGAGTGGGGCTAGGGTTGCTGACCACCGACCTGGGCGAGGCCAAAGAGGAAGAGGCGGTTGTACGGCCAGCCGTAGACCGTATGCAGCACTCGCAGCGTCTCGTGGAGCATCGGTAGCAGCTCGGCCATGCTAGTGCCAATCGAAGCGCGGTAGCCGAGCTTGGATATGGGCGGCGTACCTCTGATCGCGAGCCGTGTGCGCGACACCGGTCGGAAGCACGTCTCCTTGGTCGTCCAGCGCATGGTACCACGAGTAGCCCAAGTCAAAGGGCAGCGCATGCGGCGCCCGCATCGAGAGCAGCGCTACGGCAGGTGGGGTCGGGCGGACAAGAGAGGAGAGATCGGACCTGTCTGGGGCAGTGCCATGGCTTGGCCGAGCGCGAACGATGCGGCATGCGTATCGCCGAGGCCATGCAAGAAGACGACCAGGTTCTCGTTGCTCGTGTCGCTGGGCTGGACGCTGAACGTCTGCAGCGGCGTGGGAAAGCGCTCCGGCGCCAAGGCGACCGATCGCTCGACCGGCGACAGCTCGTGCGCAAAGTACCAGCGCGTGTGCTGCGTTGCGGAAGACTTGAGAAGCACAGCGCGGCCCTTGGCGTGGACTTGAACGACCTCGCCGACGCCGTCGCCGGCCTGCACTGTCTCGCCAACGTTCATGTATCCCGAGACAGGCTGCTCAAGTCTAAATGCACGCTACCTTAGCCGCGCCACTTTCGGATGCCACCGAATGAGGCACTTGCTGGTAAACACGAACACACGTAGGTCATGCACTCGAGACGTAGTGAGACACCGGCGCCGCATGCAGCGGTTGCGAGAGCTGCAGCTGAGGCTGTAGGCGCACCAGCAGCCGTGGCTATAATGCTTTCTGAAGTGCTATTACTGTCACTTGACGACTACGACACCATGTTTATAGCAAGAGCCACAACCATATTCTCTATTGTCTTCGATGACTATGCATGGGCCAGCGCACGAAGCCCCACGCACCCAAGGAAAGACGAGGTAGGCGGATGGTGCGCTGGATTGGGCCTAGGGTTGCGTGCATGTAGCCAGTGTAAGAATATTTTATCCGGATATCCGGATACGGCATTCTGCACCAGGTTCACTGGCAAAGACCAAGAGTCGGGCCTCGCGGACGCGGTCGGAAGCAACCGAAGCGAGGACGATGGTCGACATGCAGGCGCCGCCGAAGGGATCGAAGAAGCGCAAGCATGACGCCGACGCGGCGCCAAAGCGCGCCGCCACCAAGGCCAAGAAGGCGAGTGCCAAACCAACGCTGCCAGCGCCTCCCGGCACCGAGCCGCCGCCGAGCACTGCTGCCGCCGCGACCAAGAAGATCCACAAGGGCGCGCCGCCCGAGGAAAGCACAACGTGCATGCTGTGTAGCGCAAGCTTGAAGCTCAAGGACCTCCGGCAGCATGTCGGAGCCCACATGGCGTTTGAGGACTTTGGCGTCGTCCGCTGCGGCTTTTGCGGTCAAGACGACGGCAGCTGCGTGATCTCGCTGACCGCGGGCACGTCAACCGTGACGGTGACGCCGGTACCGCAAGGCAACTGCCCGCGTTTCCGGAAATTCTACGTCACGTCGGCGACCAAGAACCACAAGTGCACCAACATCCCGCAGCAGTGCGCGCTCTGCAGCAAGTGGCTCTGGAAGTACACGCTGCGACAGCATTACCGCGACTGCCACGGTGGCTTGGACGCAATGACCGACGCCGACCTGGAGGCCACGACGCTCAGCCAGACCGAGCTCGACGGGCTCCTCAAGCTCGCAGGCGACATTGCAGGTCGCAAGCGCAAGGCAGCGCCGACGTCGTCGCCCGAGCCGTCGTCGTGGATCGATGCGTTTGTGCCCCTCGAAGTTGAGCCCAACGTGTTTCTGGTCTAGTACAACACTCAACTCGTGGCCGGCCCATTTGATACCATAGATTATTAACCAGCTAGTTATCACTACGCTCAAGTTTTGACCCTCCTAGTATTCTCTACCCTTCTTAATCGGTGCGACCAGTCCCGAGATAACCCTACCCCGCATTCTCGGACACGTCGTCGCAAAGGAGGGACGTTGCTTGGACTCTACCGACCCGCAAAGACCGTCGACGCGCGTATAAGAAGAGAGACAATCGATCTCGTGTGGACGTTGCTGTATGCATTATCTAAACGTACAGTGTCATTAACCTCGCATAACTAGGATCCGTACTAGTATCGTGTTTCCGACTGGCTTCTCTTGCGGTTAGGGTACTTATCCACGTCATTTTATGACAGGACTCGCGGCTTTACAAGGTAGCTAAACATGTTGTGTCTTCCGCAAAACTCGACCGAGCGACCGAGGGGCTCACGGGCGCGTCGTTGGCAGCTGTGTGTGGGAACACGTCGGTGCGCAGCCAGCCGAGTACATTGGGCAAGAGCAGTCCCGTGCGGGCGAGGTACGCTTCGCCGCCCGGCTAAGCATGATCATGCGCCATCCCGCCCTTTGATGAGTTGAGACATATACCTTTTTCGCAAGCGAAATGTCCTTGAGAATCATATGCGAGAGCATGACAAAGAGCGTCATGAACGTGAGCATCGCGTACGGGAACCAGTGGTCGGCCAGCACCGCGTACGAGAGGTACACGAGCAGTTTGCCGAGAAAATTCGGGTTGCGACTCCACTTGACATAGCCGTCCCTAATACTAGTAGATTAATACACTGAAACTATAAACGTACTAGTACGTACGTGAACAAGACGCCAGGCGACGACCGCAACACAAAGTACTTTTGGGTGTCAGTGCACATGAGCAGCGTGAGTCCGGTCGTATGCAGCGCCGTGCAGAATCCCACAAGTCCCGGCGCTGGCTCGACGTGATTCGCAATGATGCAATAGTCGGCCGCCCAGTCCGCTGAGAGCACTAGGACACCGAGAAGCGCGGACGGCAACGTCATGTACGCCGCCCAGACCTTGTCGGGTGTCACGACATCCTTGACCACCCAGAAGACTCCAAACGTCCCGTGGTCTAGAGACGCGTCAAGCACACAAACCTGCAAGTCGAAGAAACACGAAGCAACGTACTCGCCAAGTGGAGGTATGCGGGCGTCGACCAGTTGCCAAAGTACCACATGAGCAGTGGCAGTACGACGACCGTCGCGGCTTTTTGCGCGTTCAAAAGCTTGCGAACTTGGACTGGCCGCGGACCGCCAAGGCAATCGAGCATGAGATAGTCCTTGAGCGGAATCACATAGCGTAGGTACACGTCGGTGATGCATTGCTGCATGCTGCTGCGCCAAAGTGAACGTGGCACAACGTGAAACGACACGAAACACTCTTTACGAATACGAATATTAGTAGAGCAAATCTCAGTACTTATCCGAAGGTTTGCTCTAGTTAACCCTCCCAGACCTAAAGGCGGATAATTGATATCGGCCACGCCTTGCAGTCTTTGAGCAGCCTATGAGTCGCTTCCACCGCGCTACATGTAGACCTGTGCATGCTGTCTACCAGAGCATGACGCGATGCGAGATGAGAGCATCTTGCTGCCGAGATGACGGGGTGCAACCGCCCTCGGTTTCGGTTGGGGCGGTCTCTGGTTGGCCGGCTCGAGGGCTAACTATGACACTGCGGCCTTTCGTCGTCACCATGCACTTGCTATCGAAACGAACATGGAGAGGATCTACGTCACTGCTGTCATCCCAGTCAAGGACTACTGCATGTACAGCTGCCTCGGCGGCCCACGACCGTTGACGCTCGGGCGGCTCGTCAACCTTCACAAGGCTGCGACCCCCCCGCTCATGATTGGGCTCATGCACGCATATGACAACTTTACCATCTCGGCCTACGTCTACGTTGCCTGTACATGACGACATTGGACAAAAGACAATGACAAGTTGTACCCACGTGTGTAGGCCATAGCTCGCTCGCAACCGCGTGGCTTCTCAAGGGCCGTGTCATGCCCGACCAAATGTTTGCCGGACGCATGACGATTGTGTCGTCGGTGCTCTGCGTCGGTGTCTTTGGCGGCTACTGGGCCGCGGGGTTCCTGCTGATTTCCGGCCGCGTCGAGTCGTCGTCGCTCGTGCTGTCCCTTGTGCTCTACATGCACACGATGGGGCTTCTCTGCCTCATGTGCACCGACACGCAAAAGTTTTACCAGCTGCGCGCCCGGCCGGGGCTCATCACGTACGCCGCTGCAATATAGGTATCAAGGTATCGACAAATCAACTCCGCCATGGTTTAGGGATGGGTGGCTCACGTGGAGCCGCAACACCAACTACCTTGGGACGTTTACTGTCTACCTCTCGTATGCGATTCTGGCGCAGCACTGGGTCCCGTACGCGTGGCTCGGGCTCATGGTCGGTGTCTCGTACCTCTCGCGGATGGTCGTCAAGGACATTTCGCTGCGCAAAAAAGTATATTTTTTCGATCGATCTTGCAGACGAATGACTTTTTTGTATAGGAAGGCGCGGACCGCTACATGTCCCAGGCGTGGTTCTTCTTTCCCAATGTCTTTGGCTGGGCACGGCACACGCTGTATGCGCCCATCGTCGTCCATCCCGACGTTCTTGCCGGTCCGAGTCCCGACGAAGTCGCCGCTTGCAGGCCTATCGGGCCAACATAAGAATGAATCCGAAATTGATCTCGCCCGACTTGTGCACAGCTTGTCTAGCGCTTTGATCTACCGTTGCGATGACCCTTGACAGCTACAAAACAGAATCTATATTCTGGATTAAAGAGTTACTTGGCGCGCCAGACCATGGCGCGGCCCGAACTGTTGCCGCTCACAATCACGTCGATCGACGGGTGGAACGTGTTCATTGAAAACACCGACCGGCAGAGGTCGTCGTCCAAGCGCTGCAGCGGCTGTTTGGTTCTCGCGCCAAAAATCTCGATGCAGCGCGGCTGCTGGTTCGACCCGAGGACGTAGCGCGGCGTCGCACTGCACTTGGGGTCCCAGTGCGCGTGAAACTTGGTGAGCCACCGGCCTGTCTGATTGTTGTGTACAAAGCGGGTCGTGGGTTTATCGCTGGTCGCTGGCATGCTGTACAGGTGGACATAGTCGTCTTGGCCGACGGTCACAAGCCACTCGCCATTGGGCGAAAAGTAGGCGCAGTTGATACTGCGGTGGTGCGGCAATGTGACGAGTGGCGTCGACGGCTGGCGGGCATCCCAGAGACACACGGTGCGATCGAGCGACGCGGTCGCAAAGCTGCTAGCCGCAATATGAAGATGTTGGTCAGGCATAGGGTGCTACGTACTGGGTCGATCCCGGTTGGCGGTGCACCGTGTTGATCTTCTTCTCGTGGAGGGTCCACGATGTGGGCTTGCCACGAGCGCGCCGGTCGATCGAGAAGACGTGCCCGGCTTCGTCGCACGTCAAGAGCGCATTCGGTTCGGAGATGTCGACGTAGGTCAGCGCGACGTCGGTGTGGAAGACGTCGGTGCGCGCTTGCGTCACGAGGTCGTACTGCTGGATGCTGCCGTCAAAGGCCGATGTGAGCAGCGTATCCGCTTCAAAATGAATCGACGAGATCGCTTGCTTGTGCGGTCGCCACGTCACGATCGTATTGTCGTCGCTGCTGTCGCGGTCCAGTGGCACAGACCAGAGCGCGACGTTGCCGTCGACGTCAGCGATCGCCGAGAGAATGTGGTCCTTGGCCAATGACGGGTGGCACGCGATTGCGTAGATACGGCTCGGTGTGACCTTTTCGACATCGAATTCGTGCAGTGTGTACTTGGCGTCTTCCTGGGGCGCCTCCACGACCGGCTTGCGCTCGGCGCCGTCCCGGCCAAAGAGCTGCCCGAGCGCCGCCGAGTCGGCGTCGGTCGGAAACGACGCTTCATTCGCGACGAGTTCTTCGGACAAGTGCGCTCGAAGCTCGCGCGGCAACGGCGCCTGAAGGTCGTCTGGCAACACGGCCTCCTTGCCTTGAAGGCGGCGCGATGACCGGCGCGGCGCGGCCACGTCGTCGTCCACGGTCTTCTTGCGCTTGATGGGCTTGGGCTTGGCCGCGTTCACGCGCTGCTTGAGCGCCGTCGCCGACGCCTTGAGGCCCATCTCCTCCATCATCTGCATGTTGCGCGCAATCTTGGCGCGGCGCGCCTCCTCGTACGCCGACATGCTCCTGGATCGATGCGGCTCGTCCACGATTTGCTAAATGTAGCACAAAACCGGATGCGTCCGGATACGGTGCCACGCCGCCATTCCCGCCACAATGAAGCCCTTCGACGATTCGCGCCGCCGAGCCAACGATGCAGCACCTCTCGCCAGTCGACAAAGCGTATACGACGAGGTTCGACAACATGAATACCTTGCCTCTAAACAATAGCAAACAATAAGGTCGTCCCACACATTTATCACCCACCACACGTAATCGTGCTTGCGCGAGGTCGCCGACGCCCCTTGGACGATTAAGTGCCAGTGAGGCAGTACCAGGTATGCAAGCGTGTTCCACTTCGACCATATCTGACGGCGTCATGATGCGCCATTTTGTTTCATCCATCATCGTTAGAGGCTGCTGGGCAGAGGCGACTGGATGGCTTCATCGCGGTCGGTCCTTGACACCAGAACTATGGTTCCTCGGCTGCATGGGTTGAAGGGACTGTAGCTGCTCTACCGCGTTTGTGTCTTTCGAGCACTGCGAGGCAAAACATTGGACGAGCGACCACCGCGCACTCCGCTTGGTTTTGCTGCCGAGATGTTGGACGATGCGAGTTGTCGGTCATTTGCCTGGTGCGTTGGCGTGATCAGCGTCGTCTTGAATGCTACGTGGGTTGTTCGAGCAAACGATAGTTGCTCCAGTAGCTACATGTAGCTATCTACACCTCTTGGCGTTCTTCAATGCTGTGGGCTCGTCACGAAATCTGGACCTCGTCATCCGACGAGAGAGGGCGTTACGCGGCTGTGTCTACAGAAGCAAAACGACCTCAGCCAAACCAAATTAGCTCGAGCCAGTAGATGGTGCGGACGCGCAAGGTAGCGGCGGTGATACCCGGTCCGTCCGTGCAGCTCCTGGAAGCGCTCACTGCACGGCGCCACCGCGTGCGGCACGATGTGTGCCTCTTCTTTGTGAGTCTCTTTGTCTCGATCAACATTGTCATCATGGTAAACCTTTCTAAAATCTGATCTCATCTCTCCAAATGTAGCCGTTCGAGGCGTATTTGTCCGAGCCGGTGCCGTGGAGTGCACCGCCGATCGACAAGCCCGATGCAACGACCTTTGCTGCCTTCAACACGACGACACTCGCGCGCAACCAAGCCTTGTACAACCGCGGGACGCTTCCGCGCGGCGACACCTACTATGCCGACGCCAGTGAGCACAGCTATGTGCTTCGCCACGTGCTCGAGGTGTCAATGCCAAGGACGTGTGCGTCACTGGTCTTGGGGCTACCCGGTGCCGTATTTTACGGCTCGGCCATGCACGCGCTCCTCTGCGACGTCGCGACGCTCAGGAATCAGACGGCGCTCCGTTGGCACAACCGGGGCACCTGCCTTGTCGTGACGTTTCTCTGGCTGCCGATCGCCCACGAGTGTCTTTGGCTCACGGCCGGGAACGATCTCGTGGCCACCAACTCGTCCGTCGAAGTGACATTGTACTTTGCTCTCACGCAGTACCCGTACCCGGCGCTGCTCTGGACCAAGTTTGTGTGCCGCACGATCTCGACGTACATTGTCGTGTACGTCCTCTGGGATCGGTACTACAAACACTATTTTGCGCTCGCCCGGTTGATGGGCGAGCACGGCCACCGCGCCGGCTTGGACAACGGGTACGTGTGGCACTACCACCTCGTTGTCGGGGACCCGACTTCGATCCTTGTCACGAGTCCGCTGGTTGTCGGCGTGTTCTTTTTGGACATTTGGCTGAGCCCGCACGTGATTGCAACCGCTGTCCTACGGCTCTTGCAGACCCAAGACGTCTCAACCATGCTGCGCGCCGCTTTGTATCTCTTTCGCATGGTGCGCAAAACCACTAATGACATTAGTGGCTGTACTTTGCACTAGGTTTGGATCGCGTACGGTGCCATGTGTGCAACCTCTGTGTGTCTGAAGCGGTCACGGCGCCACTGCCTCTTTGCCGAGGTTGACCCGACCGTGCTCGTGCTCACCATGACGTTCTATGGCCCGCTCTTGTGGCTTCTCGCTGGCAACGTCTGGGTTTGCCTGCGACTGTGCCAATGGCTCCTCACGTGCTTACTGCCGGAGGACGCCAAAGCGACGCGCGTCGAGATCATTCTCGTGGGTACTGTCTACATTGCACTTGTGGCGCTGCTGCCATTGACGTACGGCTTTCTCGTTGGCTATATCCGTACGCAAGACAAATTGTCCATCGATGTACGACAACTGAGAACGATGGAATGTACTAGGGAAACCGCGGGTGCCGTCGATCGCGTACCATAGCTATCGGTACAATTCGCTCAAAACCCGGGCGTTCATCACGCCGGTCCACCCGCTTCGACTCGGCGAACACCTCGGTGTTTCGTTTGGCGGCTCGATCTACTCGGTGTTTGAAATGCGCATGCAGTACAAGAAGACGCCGACGATGAATGCGCGCGGGTCCGACTGCTTCCTCTTGTGCTACCGCAACAGCGACCTGGTCGCCAAGATGCGACTCAGCCTTCTCGGCAGCCTCGACTGCAGTGGCGGCGGGAGAAGCCCGCCCATAATTGATGCCGACGAGCCGTGCGAGTTTCATGTAAATGCCCTCAACTACTCGGGCCGCCAGCGAAAGCTGTCGCTTCTTGCGGGCCGCGGCAGCATCGACACACGCATCACGATCTCCCGGTCGACGCACCCGACCGAGTGGTGTATGTAATGACTTTACCGCTTGCTCAAGATCGCAAATTCTTACACTCTTTGTCGAGATCACATAATAAAGATGCGTCTCTGTCAACGTGTGCCAACGCGTCGCACGACAGCGCCATCGTGTCAAGACGGCGGCTGACCAAGAAATGACCGGCGCGCTGCAATGCACTAGTACCTACAACGTGGTCCTTCGAGCCGATTCCTTATCCCCAATCGTCTCTCCATTTTGTAAGACGACCATCCGCAGTGCTAACGACCGAGACGATCCGACACGTTGCAGGTCTTGGCCAGCCCGACGCGACCGTCCAAGATCGCAACCCTTCACATACGTATTATAAACCCTTCAAGTAAATACTATACCCTTCGCTTAAGTATTGTAGGCAAACGGACCCTTTTGGTTGGCTTCCAGTCGTTGGGTCTTTTTAGACCAATGGCATCGCCCGACGTAATTGGCTCGCGAGCATCAAGTTGCATCTCGCGTCGCCGCCGGTATGAAGAAGAAGGCCATCAAGTTCATCGCCAAGGGCGGGCTCAAGCACAAGATTGCCAAGCGCAATGACAAGAAGAAGTTCAACAAGGGCAAGAAGCCTGCCGTGCCATCGACCAAGCCGGCCAAGGCGGCGCCGCGCTCGGCCGACGCCGAGTCGTCCGACATGCTGGACGATATGGACGTCGACGACTTTCTCAATGGCGACTTCCTTGACAACGACGAGGACGAGGACGAGGTCAACGACAGCGACGACGACGTCGACATGAACGGCGACGACGACGACGACGACGATGGCTCGAGCGAAGAAGAGGACGAGAGCGCGCTCGACCCGCGCTACCTCGCGGCGAGCCGCGACGAAGACATTGCCGAGTCGGAAGACGACGAAGAGGCCAACGCCGCGTCTGTGCCCAACGAAGCGCCCGGTTCGGACTCGCGCATCGAGCTTACGATGGAGGCGCTTCGCGCGATTGAAGCCAAGTGCGCATCGTCGCCGAGCATCAAGTCACTGCGCCGGCTGCTGCAGATCTTTAGCGACGCGTGCCAGTCGCCCGAGTCGGACAAGACGGGCCCGAAGAACACCAAGTACGACATTCGGTCGAGCGCGGTCTACAACGAGCTCATGGTGTCGGTCTTCAAGCACACTGTGGCGATCTGGGACTCGTACTTTGGCGACAGCGAGACGCTCGACACCAAGAAGTGGTGCGCTCCTTCAAGCATACGACAAGCATACCACTCACACTATGTTCTTAGGTCCAAGATTGCGCCGATGCTCCGCCGCTTCTATGCGTGCGCCGTGTACCTTCTCCAGGAAACCACCAACGCCGACATTCAGCGCTTCGTGCTCCGGGGCTTGACCAAGTACATGCGGTTCGTGGTGCCGTGCCACAAGACGGCGCGCAAGCTGCTCAAGTGCTTTGTCTCTCTCTGGGGCAAGTCGCTCGACACCCAAGTGTGCATGCTCGCGTTTGTCCGCGTCCGCGAACTCGCGCAGCTCATGCCGTTCCCGTTCCTTGAACTCTGTCTCAAGGCGCTGTATCTGAGCTACATGCGCAACGCCAAGTTTACGAACGGCGTCAACTTCCAGCACCACATCGTGATGGGCAACTGCATCGTCGAGCTCTACGGCCTCGACCTCGTCTCGTCGTACCAGCACGTCTTTATCTACATTCGCCAGCTTGCGATTTCGATCCGCAAGGCGATCGCGTCGCCGTCGACCGAGACGCTCAAGGGCCTGCTGACGTGGCGCTTTGTCAACTGCCTCAAGGTCTGGGCCGCGGTCGTCGCCGCGTACCCGGAGGAGAACCAGCTCAAGGCGCTCGTGTACCCGATCTCGCAGCTCTGCTTTGCGCTCATGCGCCTCGCGTCGGTCGTACGCTACATCCCGCTGCGCTTCCAGTGCATCAAGGTGCTCCAGCAGATCGCCTTTGCGACCAACACGTTTGTCCCGACGGCGCCCGTGCTTCTCGAAGTGCTGACGCTCGGCACGAAGGCCAAGACCAAGAAGCAGGCCAAGGACACGGAGATTGTCGAGCTCGATTTGCTCGTCAAGCTCTCCAAGGCCGCGACCGAGAACAAGCGCGTCCAGGACATGGTCGTCTCCAAGGTCTTTGAGCTCCTGCAGCGCGAGTGTGACGTGTACAAGTACTCGATCGCGTTCCCGGAGTTTGCCGTCCCGCTCTCGCTGGCGCTCGCCAAGTTTGCGAGCTCGACCAATGTGCCCCAGTGGAAGTCGATGGCCCGCGGTCTCATCGCCAACATTGAGAAGCGCTCCGAGTGGATCCGTGCCAAGCGCGTGGTCGCCGACATTGCGCCCAAGGAGCTCGAGAAGGTCAAGGCGTTCCTGGCCGTCGAGCGCACGGAAGCGGTCACCAAGATCTTTGAGAAGGACGCCAAGTCGCAGACCGAAAAGGCTGCGCAGTACAAGCAGCAGCACGGCGGCAACGACGTTGGCGGCGACGACGAGGACGATGACGCGCTCGACGACATTCTCCGCGGCGACAAGCAACGCGACGACAAGGACGAGGACGAGGACGACGACATGTCGGACGACGAAGAAGAGAAGCCCAAGAAGAAGCGCAACAAGAAGAAGAAGAAGACGAACGCGGGCCCCAAGGTGAGCCTCGACGAGTTTAAGAAATCGGTCGCCGCCGTCGACGAAGAAGACCACGTCGAAAACATGATCTGGTCGGACGACGAGTAGATGCATCGTAAAATCTTATATTGTATTCATGGCAGCTTCGTGAGTGCTGCGTTGGCTCTCTCGTCGTCGTCCGCTGTCGCAGCGGCAAGACGGCGATGCGTGGCAGCGCCGACCTTGTGCCACGAGTCCACGAACCGCCGAAGCATGTCCGATGCATGCGCCACGTCTCTCGCTGTGGGCGGTGGGCCGCGCCTTGGCGCGTCGTGCGATCGGTGCCATATCGTTCGCGTCTGTGGTTGTGACGCTGTGAGGTGCGCTGTCGTCGTCCGCACGAAGTTGGAGGCGCATGGCGCATGTGCCACATGTGGCAGCGCTGTCCTAGCCGCCTGCGCGATGCATGCAGCGCGTCCTCGTCGACGGTGCGCATGGGCCACAGTCGTGCCCATCGGTGCCATGCCTATCGCACCGATGCACGGCCACGCCGGCTGCGAGCCGCTCGGGCGTCCTCATCCAACATGCCATTGGCTGCTTTCTTGGATCGCAACACTATTTCCAGCGCGCCTTTTCACGGCGACCAGCGCTCACGACGACACCATCTCACCTCTATTTCATTATACAAAACGTCGTGGTCGTGCGCCAGGAGCTCCATCTTGATGTCGTCGTTCAGCACACTAATTTTGGTCTCTGATAGATTATCCGGATATATCCGGATAAGTTCCATACAAAACGCAAGTGCAATTTATGGAAGGCAACGTCGAAGCTCGCCCATTTCGAAAAACCATGTCGGCCGCGTACGCAGGGCGCAAGACGGGCAAGCCGGCCGCGTCGGCCGCCGCCGCCAAGAACAAGAAGTTTGAGCTCACGGAGGAGCAGAAGCAGGAGATCCGCGAGGCCTTCGACCTCTTCGACACGGACGGCTCGGGCACGATCGACGCCAAGGAGCTCAAGGTGGCCATGCGCGCCTTGGGCTTTGAGCCCAAGAAGGAAGAGATCAAGAAGATGATCAGCGACATTGACAAGGACGGCAGTGGCACGATCGACTTTACCGAGTTTCTCGAGATGATGACGAGCAAGATGTCGGAGAAGGACTCGCGCGAAGAGATCCTCAAGGCCTTCCGCCTCTTTGACGACGACGAAACGGGCAAGATTAGCTTTCGCAACCTCAAGCGCGTGGCCAAGGAGCTCGGCGAAAACATGACGGACGAAGAGCTGCAAGAGATGATTGACGAGGCCGACCGCGACGGCGACGGCGAGATCAACGAAGAAGAGTTTTTGCGCATCATGAAGAAGACGAGCTTGTATTAACCACCACCACAGACAACAACGACACCGTATGCAGATGTATCTTGATGCGCTTGCGATGGTAATAGCTCGGCGTACGACGCGGCAGTGGACTGCACCACCCTGCACAGCGACCCTCGACTGCACCATCAAGCTGCGGTCATCATCCCGGCATACAGTATACCATCACCCATCTGCGTCACGCATGGCGTGCGGTTGCGTATGAGCGCCGCTGCTTGCGGACTGCATTCATTGCTGATCTTTGCTCGGACGAGCGACTTGCGACGTCGTGGGCGCAGACAGGTCGTACGTTACAGTGTGGCCATTCCAGGCTAGACGCAGCGCCAGACCTCTAGCTTCGCAGGTGGTGGCTCTTGGGCACAGACCACAGATCAGCGTCGCAAGGTGCGCTCGCTCAACGACCCTCGCCAGGCTAGCCATCGACTCGTACCGCATGCTGCCCACGGGATGCTGACTGATCTGGACTTCCTCTGAGTTGACCGACGTATCCATGCGTGTCCCTGCCATGCACGACAATTATGTGGCGGTTGACAGATAATCCGCTGCCATCCGACTCGTGGAAGTCTGTATCTACACTCAGTTCTTAGTCGAGTTGAGGACCGAGCCCCCGCAGTCTTTGCGCCGCAGTGGCAGTCACACCGTCGACTACAGTGGTCGGTGTCGTCCGAAGGTGTTGGCCGACGACTAGTACTCAATGGCTAGTACTCTTATACTACGGTAGGCAACGACCAATATGTCTACACTTGGGACGGTTCCACGATACCAGCTGGGCGGCATCAGTAATACGCGCCACGATGTCGCGACCTAGACAGACACGAATTGAGATGCTCGAGCCCAAGAGCGACTGGCAGGTCGAGTCCGAACGGTACCTCTGGTGCATCCCGTCGCCATGGTACAGCGCCGAGCCAGAGACGTACCACATTCTCTTTGGCCTCCGCTTTCGTCGGTGGCAGCTTTTACTGGCCGCTCTCAGTATCCACGCGCTCCTCGGCTATCTCGTGCCGCTTGGCGCCTCAGAGCCCGTCGTTTTGGCGCTCGCAGTCGCCACCGGCCTCACGACCGCGGTGTCTTGTCCGCTGCTCCAACAGCGCGGGCCTCGCACGGGCCTCGTACTCGGCAGCGCGTGTATCTTTCTCGGGCACTTTTGTCTTCTCGCTCCGTCGCTGCATCTACTCTACGGCGTCTGCATCGGCGCCGGCCTCGGCCTCAATCACTTCGCCGTGTCCTTGACGCTGCAGGTGGGTTGTGTGTGAAATATCAGCATACCTCGATCGCTTGAGCTTATGTGCCTACTGTAGCCGTGGTATCCGCGCTGTCGTGCCACGATGACATCACTGCTACTCGCCTCCAGCGTCATGGGCGGTGTCATCGCAATGACCAGCCTTCCGCGCCACGTGCTTGTGACGCCACCACCGTACGCCGACCTTTCTATCTCTACCGAGCCGACGGTCTCATCCTGCTACCTGTAGCGACGACGAGGTACCTGCGTGGGCGCTTGGTGTCGGGTGCACCGCGACCAGTCTGCTGCTACTGCTGGCGGTCGCCGTGCGCACGCCGCCACCAAGCTTTGTCATCGACGATGACTCGCCGATTGTTATCTCGACGCTCCGGGATGCGGTCTGTTCGAGGAGCTTTGCCTGCCTCGGCGTCGCCTTGGTGCTCAAGGCTGCAGCCACCGCGGTCCTCTCGCGCCAGCTTCTCACAACGTGGCTTGAGAGTACCACCACGGAAGCGGTCGTTCCCGCGCTTCTGCTGCTCGTATCTCTCCCGGTGCTTGTCGCCTTTGTCTCCGACATCCCGTGCGGCCGTTCACCGGCGTGGCGTCGGCACTGGTTCGTGCTCTCCCTAGCGTCGTTGCAGGTGCTTCTGGCGCTCGTCGCGCCCGTCTCGTCGCCCTGGCTGCTCGTGTGCGAAGTCACCTTGGATATGGCCTTTCTTGGGCTCTTGCCGGCGTTTCTCTGGGACCTCTTTGGCGCCGCCACGTATGTGTCGATCTACAGCTATTGCCTCGCGATCATAAGCTCCGCAATTGTCGCGTCGCTGGCGCTCGTGCCACCAAACGACGTCTGGAGCGACGACGGAATGCTACTCGGCGTCACGGCCGTCGCCTTGCTCAGCCTCTGCTGCGTGCGGCACGACGCGACAGGACGCTGGTGCGGCTCCCACACCAAGCGGCAAAGCGTCATGATGACCGCGGTCATCGACCCGCCGTACGACACGGTTCGCGCGTTCGTCGAGTCGCAGCAGCGCGCGTCGGAGCTCGTGCTTTTGGCCCGCGAGAGCGACTTTTCGCAGGCCATTTTGGCCCCTCGCAGTAGCACCGGCGGGAGCAGTATTTATATTTAACAAAAACAATTGCTCAGCATTTTACGTCTTGGGGCCCTTGTTCTTGTACATGGTCCAGAGAAAGCCCATGGCATCGAGCTCGGCGATCCGCGCGGGCGGCAGCTTGGGTCGGCGCGTCCGCAGTGTGCTCACGACGACGCCGAGCTTCATGTGCCACAGCCGCTTGGGCCACGCGATGTCTTTGGCTGGCACTTCAAACTTTTGGGGTACATTGACATGGCCGTGGAGGTGCCGGAAGATCGAGAGCGCTTCCATCTTGTCCTGCCACGAGATGCTCGCCTGTATCGTCCAGATGAAGCCGAGCGACTGCAGTTGCTGTCGCTTGGCCGGCGACAGCTTGTCGGCGCGCGTCCGAAGCGCAACGACGAGCCGCCCGAGCCGGAGTCCGTGGTGGTCGACGTGCCACTGCGGGTCGTTCTCGGGGACGACAAAGCCCGTGGGCACGGCGAGGTGCCCGTGGAGGCGCTGGAACGTAGCGATCGCAGCGACCTTGGTCTCCCACTGGTGGTCCGAGAGGTCCCATACAAAGCCAATCGCGTCCATGGCCGCGACGATTCCCGCGTCGAGCTTCTTGTACCGGTAGAGTTGGCGAAACTCGCAGACACGGAGGGTCTTACCGTGCAGATTGGGCGGCCACGGCGCCGACACGGGCACCTCGAACGTCGATGGAAAGAGTGTGTAGGGCAGCTCCGGGTACAGACCACGCTGGACGTGCGCTGCGTCGGCAAACTCGTTCTGGCGCTCGAGCGACATGCTGCTCGTCTCTTGCGCGGTCCGGTGCTTGCGCTTGTAGCTCTTCTTCTCGGCACCCTCGGCCAGCGGTTGACACGTCGTCGGCAGCGTTGTCGTCAGCGACGCCTTGAGCGCCGACGCAGCGAGCTCCATCGTCGCCAGATGTTCAGCCTGGCCTTCATTAAGGGCATGGCGGCGCAGCTCCCGCAGCGCCTGCTCGACCGCGTCGACGGCCTGGGGCAGTGCGTCCGCCGCTGCGGCCGGCGGTCCTGGCATGGCCGCTTGACACTATTTGACAACCGACAACGCCACTCCAAACATTGCTTTAAATTCTTGATAGTGTGACTCTATATTGCTTGTTTTCAAAAACGGTGTTCGCGGGATGTGCCGAAAATAAAATGCCGAATCCAACTGGTGCCTATTTTGGGCGACTTCACGAGGGACATGTCCGAGGACGCCAAGCAGGTGCCAGTGCCGATCCTGTATTGGGGCGTCGTCGATCCAGCGTACCGCGCGCCTGGCGCCTCTGTGAGTGAGACACTGCAATATTACCGCAGCAGCTTCAAGGCGCGTGCGACAAAGCTGCCTCGGCCGGCCGATGCCACCACCCGGGGGCCACCCCCCCACGTGGCATTCTCCCAGACCGCAGCGTCGTCGCTGCGGCACGTTCTGCAGGTACTAAAAGATAGAGCAAGTGCCGCCATTCGAGCCGTAGAAAGGACGAGCCAGCATGGCGTAGATCTTGATGACGGCCGTCGAGACACAGCTCGGCCGCCAGCTCCCGCAGCGGGTGTTCGACGCGCCGTCCAAGGCCACGCCCAGTCGCTTCTACCCACCCAGTGTCGCGACCGAGACGCCCGAGTATTTTTTGAAAAAGCCCAAGGACCCTTTGGTGGCCAAGCGCACGTCCGTACGTTTCTACTGCTGAGGACGCAAGTTCGGTGCCATGAGTGGCTGCCTAGGGCGCGCTGCCTTATTTTTGCGACCGCACTCCGCCCAAGCAACCCAGCCGTGTGGATCGAAAACACTGGTACCTACCTTCTCTATCTTCTCTATACTTTGTATGGTGTAGGAACTTTGTGCAGGCGCGCGAGTCGGACGTCCTTCGGCGCCGCGGCAAACATCTCTTGGCGATCCTCGAAGAGCAGCAGCAGCTCGAGATCCAGCGAGAAAAGGGTCTGGGATCGACATGGTACTAGATTGTAAACACGTCTAAACCAGTGGTCTAGATCTGGTCGCTGCGTCACGTCAGGAGCCATCGATCCATATGACGATCGTGGCAGACGTAGCAAAAGCCCGGTACGAAGCTGCCGACCGCATCATGCGCATCCTCGACGTAGGACAACTTGTCTTTTTTGTCCGATTGTCATTTCATTATTTTTTGCGTTTAGGATTATGGTCTTATTGCAGCCAGCACGGCACTCGACTACCTCCAAACAACGCTCTCTCCTTCTCCGATGTCAACGTAGCGATAACGATAACTCATAATTCGAGATACGATTCAACATTCGTGATGCTCTCGACGGTTCTTTCAACGAGAACAAACACTCCAAGTTGACATTACAAGTACCGACCACCATTCTATGGAACCCACGCAGTTCGACCCCTTTCCAACTCTGCGGTACAGTAGTGTCCCTACTAGGGACACTACTGCACCTTCCGAGCACAACACCGTAAGGGCTAGAGACAGCCTCCAACGTATACTGGAAGAGAGGCGCGGGTGTTTGCGGCAATTCTTCGATTATTCATATTTGCAGCGTTCGTGACCTCACTTAGAGATCGTCGGCCGCCCGCTCGTAACTCCAGTCGCCCGAGAACACGAGTGTTGGCGCCTCATTCTCCCAGAGCGCTATGCGGTCGTGGGCCGTCCACGCCGCCACGTCCGACGCCGCCGCCACGCGCAGCTGGTACAACTCCACCGTACACTGGAGTCTTGTCGCTTCGGTCGTGGCCACGTGCAGCGTCGCGCAGTAGCTCGTCTGGTCGCCGACGTCGAGCGTGTAGCAACGCAGGTCGACCGCGTCGTCATCAAGCCGACCGACGTAGTCGCCCTCTACGCATGCATGTTCAATTTTATAAAAGTATGCGACATGGCATGAGTGCCACGAGTGGGCAGCGTACCGAGGTGTCGGGTCGCACCGGCCATCGTCGACTCGCCGTTGGGCCACGTTCGATGCACATGCGGTCGACCGTCGAGCACAAAGCAGGTGGGCTGACTCACATACACGCGCCACGCCGACTGCACCTACCCACACATCGTCGTCGTTAGCGAGTGTTTGGTATGGAAATGGTACGTGGAGCTGCGGACCCAGCAGCGTCGTGCGCACGCGAAAGAGACTCGAGGCCCAGCGCACGAGCGTCGCCGCCGAGAGCGCGTCGTGGCGCACAAAACGAACACTGGGTACGTCGACCACCCAGTCGCCACAGAGCCACGACCGCGCACGCACCACGCCCAGGACACGGTGCTCTGGCCACACGCTCTGCGCGGCCTCGGCGCTCTAGACACGAGTGTCATGACAACCATATCGTACCAATAAGAAAGCAGAGATACATCACAAACACCGAGAAGATATCAAACGGGATAACAGTACCAGAGACACTTCGCGGAAATGGGCCACGCACGCCTGGTAGCCGAAAAAGCTGTCGGTCACCAGCCGCGTCGTCATCTCGGCCGAGAGACTCGCCAGCGACGCGACGGCCTCGACCGCCACCTGCGCCACCGACGTCTGGTGCTGCTTGGCCAAGAACGCCTCCGACACGCTGTGCAGCAGCTGCACGCAGTCGCTGTACGCGCGGGCGAGGTCGGTCCGCTGCAGGATGCAGTCGCGGTGCGAGCGCACGACGGCCTCGTACTGCGTCCGGTTGTGCGGATGCAGCAAATGGATGAGCCAGTCGACAAGGACACTGCTCGTCGTACGATCGTTCGGTGGCGTCTATGAGATCGGAGTGCAATCTCAAGTGCCCTACCCCCACTCGCATCGTGTGATCTGTCATACCTGGTTACGCTTGAGAAGCTGGTGCAGAGGGGAAGAAGATACCGGCGCCGGGTGCATCAGGTACTGCACGAGCTTGTGCTGGGCCGTAGCCGAGACAGTGTCGACCTGGCCCACATACAAGAGCAGCAGACCCAAGTGGTACGCCATGCGTTGCGTGCGACTCGACACGAGCGCCGTCGACGTCTCGTGCTCGAGTGTCGGCACCAGCGCCGCGTCATCTCGTGGCGCACTACTACTGCGGTACGTGGCAATCGTAAAGCCAGGCGACATCGCCTTGGCAACAAGCCGCCAGTTCCCACGTGGCGTCACCTCAAAGACATAGGCCTACGGACCAATGCAGACTTCATGACGTGTCACTGCATCGATGACAGACCGTGACGTGGTGGCGACTGCCGCGAATGGCTTGGCTGCGGCTGCTCTTCCAGCCGTACGTCCAGCCATCCGCGAGGTCGAGGTTGAAGCTGCTTGTGAGCACAGTCTGCGTCCGCGTCAGGAGCAATAAGATCGTATATATGTACTACCTCAGAGACGACTTCTTGGTGGCCGGCGTGCCACGTGACCGCGGCACAGTGGAGCGCGTCGGCGGACAGCGGTGGCGTCTCAAAGCCAACGTCCCAGTCGGATGCTGTCGCGGGCGCAATGCGCAGCAGCGACGCGTACGTGCCGTCGACGCGCGACGGCCACGTGGTCTTGAGCACGAGCGGCGCGCCGCAGTAGCGGTAGTAGGCGTGGCGCGGGCAGCAGTGCGGGAAGCATCTAGTGGCTCGTTCTTTGAGCACAAGTCTGCGCAAGCCGTCGGTCGTACCGGAGCACCTAGCAGCAAGA